CCCCCCAGGGGGGATGGTCATGCCACAATCCCTTCTCCTCTGTTTTCCTCTGGGGATCCTGGGCACGCACGCACATGTGCCCGGCCTGAGTTCAAGCCACCGGGTCCAGGACTCGAACAACCGTCGACTACATGGGAGTTCAGTGACATAGCCATTACACTAACTGCTGGTCCCATGTCTGGTATGAGTTTTAATAGTCAGGTCTGAGACTCGAATCACAATTGACTACGTGAGAGTCTGGTGACTTAACCATTACGCCATCTGCTGATCCCCAGATGAAGTTTTAAGCAAAAAGCTGGAGGAGGGAACCAGCAGTTAGCGTAATGGCTATGTCGCTGGACTCCCACGTAGTCGACCGCGGTTTGTGTCCCGGACCCGGTGGCTTAAAACTCACGCCGGGCGCGTGTGCGTGCGTGCCCAAGATCCCGAGAGGAGAATGGAGGAGAAGGGATTGCGGCGTGACCATCCCCCCTGGGGGGTGATTTCTCGCTTTCTGTCTCTATGTCTCTCTCTGTCTGTCTGGCGAGCGCACGCGCCCTACAGTGAAAATCTCTCAAAAAAAAAAAATATAGTAAAAAAAAAAAGCTGGAGGACAATAACCAAGGTGGGGAAGTAATCTCATTCTTTAGCAACAGGTTTATGATCTTATGACAATTCAGGCCATAATTTTATTATTGATACCACCTGGCTGTTTGTTTTTGTTTGTTTTCAAGAAGGAGACTGTGCTCTCCAGAGAGAGGGAAAGAAGGAGAGGAGGAAGTGAATCACACTACAGTCCCTTCTCCTCCATCTCTCCTTCCTTGCAGGATTTTGGGTATGCAAGCACATGCACCTGGTATGGTTTTCAGGCTGCCTAGGTCAGGACTTGATCCACACAGTTGGTCATGTGGGATCAGGCTCCCTTAATCACCAGACCATTAACTGACTTTCCTTCCTTTTTTATATTTTGGTTCTTTTTGTTGGTGTTATTGTTTAAATCTAAGCCCCCTAAGCCCATGGAGACCCTGGGATTTGAATTTGGCTCCATCACCTAAGAAAACCTCTGCAACCATCATACTCATGGAAAAAGAAGAAAATTTTATAGGAATGGTGCAGTTAGGCACTTTGCAAATCAGATGCAAAATGTAATCTCTACTCTTATGGGGTTTGGAGAGCATGACCAGGGCATGCATTTCTGAGATAAGAGGTGCCTGGAGGACAAAGGCCCAAAGACATAGTCGGCCCCCATACACCTTCTTTCTCAGTTTGCTTCTTGCTCTCAGCTTTGCTGCATCAGAAAGTCAGGATCTGGAGTTCCAGGCAGAATGAGGAAGGAACAGATACAAGATGTTTTGTTTGGAGGATGTGGGAGTCTGAGGAAGAGAGTAAAGAAGACCCAGAGAGCTGGGGCAGCTAAGTACAGTACGGCCCGGAAAAGGAATAGGAAACTGTTTCTGCATCACTTCTGACATCACATGTGTGGCCTTTTCCACACTAACCACACTCTGCTGCTCCCTGGCAGATGCCAACTAGGTATCCTAGAACCCGATTCAGTCCTAACAATAACCAGGAGTTATCGCAGGCCCTCACAGGTGAAGGTTTCAGTCTCACAAGACTGCCCCCACCCCATGCCAATGGCCAGTAGTGGGTCCTCATGCTATCTACAGTTTCTATTTTGCTTACCCACAAATTGGTGGTTCCCTTAACGCTTCTCCTCTAGCCCCTAGTAAATCTCCTCTCATCTCCATCTCAGAGCCTGTTTCCCAGGGATTCGACCTGTGCCAAGTTTCCTCCAGGGAGCTGTTCTACCCGCGGGCATTGGGAAGACCACCTGATGTCGCTCAGACCCTTTCCTGAGTAATCTTTACCCTACCCTCATTCATTCTCTTCCAGCACCTTTGTCTTCCCTGGCCCAGCAGTGACTATGACAAGGCCTGTTCCTTCAGGCCTCCGGGCCTGGCACGCAGTAGTTTGAACAAAGGATGAATGAATAGAGTCCCCTTTCTTGGTGTTGACAGAGTAACCAGTTGGATGAACTTTTCCGCAGATTAAAATACACACACACACACACACACACATGTGCACACATACAATGAGTATTCCTAGACAAAGTGCTTGGGACCAGAAATGTTTCAGATATTTTTGAATTTTGTGATACTTGCACATACACATTGAGATATCTTGGGGATGGGAGTCAAGTCTGTACAAATTTCGTTTATGTTTTGTATACACTTTATGCATATAGTCCAAAAGTAACCTTAGGAAATATTTTACATAATTTTGATCCCACGTGGGCACTGTGAAGAATCTGCTATTAACACATCCAGACTACACATGTGTCATTTTATTATCTTGTATAAGCATGGACATACTTACACAAGGAATCTGATAGAGCAGATAAATGGCAGTTGAAGGCTGGGAGGGCCTTTTTACCTTGGGGACATTGACTGAACTGTGTTGTGTACCTGTGTTTTTTTCTTTGTTTATTTTTTCCTTTATGAGAGAGAGGGAGAGGAAGAAAGAGAGGGAAAGGGGAGAGAGCTAGGCATTTTGCTAGGGCTATGGGAATGTGCAAATGTGCCTGGTGTGTAAGGATTGGCTTGGGAACCAAATCTGGGTCTCCCTTGTGGCTTCAGCCTCCCAGCCAGTGGCATTATCTATATGTCACTGTGGCTGGGTTCACACCTACATTTTGAGTATCAGTCATCAAGTAAAGTCAGGTGTACATTTTCCATTTGTGGTGTCATGATGATGTTCCAAAACTTCCAGATTTTGGGACATTTTGGATTTTAGGTTTTGCTTTAGAGATGCTCAGCCTGTATATACATACTATACACACACACATGCATGTTGTATTTATACACAAATCTGGTATATACATACACACACAGAAACTATATAACATGCACACACACACGACAAAAGATGATCTGTTGTATCAAAATATAGTCTCTGTTCTGTCTGGTCTCTTGCATTGCAGAGTGTCACGTTTTAGCTATGCCACTGCAGCTGGGCTCCTCCCATACACTTTAAACCGTCTCCAGGGGGCACCAGCAGATGGTGTAATGGTTACGTCATTGGACTCCCATGTAGTTGACTGCAGGTTGAATCCTGGACCTGGTGGCTTAAAACTCACACCAGGCATGTGTGCATGTGTGCCCAAAATCCTGATAGGAGAAGAGACTGTGGCACGGCCATCCCCCCTGGGGGGTGATTTCTCGCTTTCTGTCTGTCTGTCTTTCTGTCTCTGTCTTTCCAGCAAGTGCATGTGCCCTATAGCAGAAATCTATAAAAATAAATAAATAAATAAAGTTACTGTAATACCTAATACAATGTAAATGCTATGTAAATAGTTGTTAGACTTTATTGTTTTTTAATTTGTGTTATTTTTATTGCTGTATATATTGATTTTTTATTAAAAAACTTTTTGAATTTTTTGTTCCACTGTTGGTTGAATCCATGGAGCAGAACCCA